ACTCCATCTCAAAAAAAAAAAAGATTAAACTATAGCCCTGTGCTATGTTATGTGTGTGGCATAATTCAGGACTCAGGGGCTGAGCTAGATTGCCTTCAGTTTGTGATGACAGAGTCATGCTATCTTCCTGTTTTCCATAGTGGGGCTGAAATTCAGCTCATCCCTGAAGAGTTTTCACTAATTGAGATATACATGAAAAAGATCAAAGGGCTACCCTTCTAAATGTTTCCTCCCTTGGAAACTGTTACATGGTCTGCAAAGAGGCCATTGCTACTGATTCCACTTACTGCCCTGGGTGTCGGAGGACACGCTCCATCCACGTGAGTGGCTGCATGGAAGCCCCTGCAGCTTAACTAGAGTGCAAAGTCACCGAATCAGAGGTAAGGGAAGAAAGGCCAAGTGCAGTGCAACGTCTTGCCCCCCCCATTCCAGGTGAGTGTCTGGGCTATGTGTGTATTTCTAATGCTGGTGGGCCAGGGTGGTATACCAACCTATACACCAGAGACATCAAAGGTTGCCCTTCGAAGGCTGTGAATCGACTTGGGCCAGCTAGTGATTCAGGGATGCGAAGAAAGAGAAACAACGGAAGTTGTAGGGGGTGGAGAGGCAGGTCTCTGATCATTTTAGGGAAACTGGATCACAGTGCAAGCTAAGCTGCTCAAAGCTCGCAGGAGGGATCAGGGAAGAGTCTAGAAGTTGTAGAGCAGGGTACTGACTAGAGCCAAGTGCTAGGGAGAGGACACCAGCTAGCTGAGGGCTGGTGCTTGCTCCAGGCTCAGAGGAGAGAGGTCTGGGAACGGGAGAATGCGGAAGCTGGCTAGGCAGGAAGTGGACACGGAGTAACAGCCTGTCACAGCTAGATGAATGGGACACGCTGGACCAAACCGGGGAAGGTACTAAATCTGGGCTGTGGGTTTGAACTGTGCAGGTCAAAATTTAAAAAAAACCAAAACATTAGGTCTGGGCTGGCATCTCCCCTGCCTGGACCCTAGGGTTTTCTGGAGACTCCTTCAGGAGGATTTAGGGGTTTTACATGAAGCAATACCCCAGAGGCCTTAGAAGGGATGTCTGGGGAGCTCAGAGCTTGTCTTTGAAAAGAAACCTAGAGGCTGGGTGCGGTGGCTCATGCCTGTGATCCCAGCACTTTGGGAGGCCAAGGTGGGTGGATAACCTGAGGTTGGGAGTTCGAGACCAACCTGACCAACAACCAACCTGACCAACACGGAGAAACTTCATCTTTATTAAAAATAAATAAATAAATAAAAAGAAAAGAAAAGGAACCTAGAAGGCCAGTTGTGGTGGCTCATGCCTGTAATCCCAGCACTTTGGGATTATAGGCTGAGGCGGGCGGATCACCTGAGGTTGGGAGTTTGAGACCAGCCTGACCAACATGGAGAAACCCCGTCTCTACTAAAAATACAAAATTAGCTGGGCGTGGTGGTGCATGCCTGTAATCCCAGCTACTCGGGAACCTGAGGCAGGAGAATCGCTTTAACCCGGGAGGCAGAGGTTGCGGTGAGCTGAGATCATGCCATTGCACTCCAACCTGGGCAACACGAGTGAAACTCCATCTTAAAAAAAAGAAAGAAAGAAAGAAAGAAAGAAACCTAGAAATCCCACTGTCCCTCACTGGCTGGGGGAATCCCTCACCATAGATTCCAGAGCAGAGAGGTGGCAAAGGGACAGGGAACATGTACAGGGAGGACGAAGGTAAGAGTGTGGGCCCCAGGTAGTAGACATGAGTACCACCTGGCAGGGCTGTGGGGTCCTATTCTCAGCTCCAGGGCATGACTGTCAGCCACTCTGGGTCCACAGAATCAGGGTCAGGTCACCTTTGGGGTAACTGGGATGGAGGCAGGACCCCCCTCCTGTTGCCAGGTCAGAGCTGTCCTGAGGCTGAGGACTCAAGGTCAGCAAGGCAGGCAGGGAGCATGGGTACCAAGGACTTCAAATCCGTGACTCAGCAGCTGCCTCCCAGCCTGGAAAGAGGAACTCACAGGGCCTGCCATGCCTGGTCCAAGGTGGGGGAGGGAGGCAGGCCGAGAGACGGAGTGCCAATGTTTAATAATTCATGGCTTTTTCTATTTTCACAGGTGCTCGTGGCAGTGAGCAGAGGGAACAGTGAGAATTTAGGACCTTGCTTGTCCCCACGGCCGCCTTCCACCAGGACAGAGCACCAAAGTCAAACAGGATCTCTTCAGTCAAGCTTCTGGAAAGCGGAATCAGGGCCTGTCCTTGGGGCAGGAGGAAACAGATGGGAGGGGAGACCAGGTGGCTGGCTGAGAAAGCCATTTCTGGGGCACTCACAGGCAACCAGGGAGCAGCTGTGTGGAAGAGAATTTGGGGGTTGGGAGATGCAACAGGCTCCTGACACCCAATATGGCTGGCCTTTGGCCCTGGCTCTGTTCCACCATCCAGCTCTCCACGCCCAGCCCCTGGGGCACAGAGCGGGCAGGGCCCATGGGAATGCCTCAGTACCCGTGTCTGATGCTTCCTTCAGCCCCTTACTCCTTACTTTCCAGCCTTCTCACGTCGCTCCATGACTTGGTTACAAGCATCCCTTCCTCTGACTCCTCCTTCCCTCCCTCTCCTGGGGTCTCCAGCTCAAAAGGGCCTTGGCATACACCTTTCTGAGTCTCTGCTGTCCCTGTAGCTGGGCCTACAGCTGCAGAACCCTTCACACTCTAACACCATTGTGAGTTTGATCCTATTTCTGTCTCCTCTAATGGAATGTGGAGTCCTCTGAGGGCAGAGACTGGGTCCTCAGGCTCAGCACAGCATCTGGCCCGCAGCAAACAAACATCCAGCTTTTGGTGGGAAGCTCCAGTTTCTTCTGAGACTGTCCCATTTCTGCTTTCCCTCCTGGTTCCTGGCCTTTGGCTGCCACTGGGGCTGCCAGGCCAGGCCAACAGCTGCAGACCAGCAAGGCCAGAGAAGCAGGGGTCTGCAGGGCCCATCCCTCCCCCAGCACAGGTGGAGTCTCAGATACCTTTCTCTCTCAAGAAGCTGCACATCTCTGCACATCTCCCACCCCTACGGCCTGGCTCCTTTTCCATATCTGAGCCAGGAACAGTGCCAAAGGCTTCATTGGGGTGCAGGAATTGAGACAGCAACAATATTTAGCATCAACCTCCCTGAAAACCGTCTTCTCAAGAACTCAGCTTCCAATCTTTCCTTCCAAGCCTGCCTCTTCCAGGAAGCCCTCACCACTGCCCATAATACTGCGCCACCCGCCAGGTGCGGGGGCTCACGCTTGTAATTCCAGCGCTTTGGGATGCCAAGGCAAGCAGATCATTTGAGGTCAGGAGTTTGAGACCAGCCCTGTCAACATGGTGAAACCCTGTCTCTACTAAAAATACAAAAATTAGCTGGGCATGGTGACATGTCCCTTTAGTCCCAGCTACTCAGGAGACTGAAGCAGGAGAATCGCTTGAACCCAGGAGGTGGAGGTTGCAGTGGGCCGAGATTGTACCCTTACATTCCAGCCTGGGTGACAGTGCGAGACTCTGTCTCAAAACAAAAACAAAAACAAAAAAATACTGTGCCACCTGCAGTTAGTTACAAGCCTGCCTCCTTCACCTGCCAGGGCATACTTTCAGGGTCAGGGCTGTGACTATTCCCAGCTCCCAGCATGGTGCCTGGTACTTAAGGGGAGCGTAATAGGTTTTCCTGGAAAAATTTAGTGCCCAGGATGGGAGCAGACATTGTCACAATGTGTGTGTGTGTGTGTGTGTGTGTGTGTGTGTGTGTGTTTGAGAGGGGCTGTATCTCATTCCAGGCAAAGGAGGCTGAGGCTAGAGTCCAGGGCACAGACCATCACAGGGTCTAGCCCAGCATCCCCAGTCCCACCCTGGTCCCCCAGAGGCTATGATTAACCCTGGTCCTGAGCACAAGGACAGAGCCTCATCTGCCAGTCAATCTCGGCCATGTGGGGAAGTAGGTCAGGGGCTGCAGGATCTGGGTAGCTGCTGCACATGAGGGTAAAGCCAGCCCTCTGGGGCCTTGTGGATGGAGACCAGGCTGTGGGCATACCACAGTAGGCCACGATTGCACAGACTGCAGCAGACCTGTGTCCACACGCCCCTAGCTTGCTGGAGACTGTGGGAATGTCACTTCTCCCTGGACACATTTCCTCCCCACTTCCAGCTCTCACCATCCAAGAAGGAGGCATCTTGGGGGAGGAGAGGGTAGCCCCGAACTCCACTCCAGCAGGCCTCCTCCTCCTTCCTGTCCCAACAGCCCCACCCCCACTCCCAATGATGTCACTTCGGCCACCTCATCACCAGCTTCTAACCCCCTTGCAGTCGCCCATTAGGCCCTCAGATGGCAGCTGTAGGCAGCGGAAATGGATCCCTCTTTACTCTGTCTCTCATCTGGCACACTGGCCGGAATTCCTGAACTTTGACCCCCTCCAAACCAGGAGCCATTTGCAAGGGGACCGGGCAGGGGAGGGCTAGGCGACTCCCGACTCTCGAAGGCAGATGGGAGACTCGACTTTCTGCTTCTTCACCGGCAAGGACCCGGCACCACTTCTCCCTGAGTAGGAAGCAAGTTAGGGAAACTTTCTGGGAGTCTTAGAGCTTATAAATCCTGGCAGGGAAGGGTGCTGCTGGCTTTGGTGTGAGATAACTTCCCTCTACACGCGCGCCACCCTCCCAGCAAAACATGACGAAGGAGCCGCCTCCCGTCCTCCAAAGACTCCCAGCCAGTGCTCAGGCCCGTTAACAATACCAGAGGCGGCTGGGCAGTTGCTGCCTCCAGGACCGGGTGGGCGAGCTGGATGACGGATGCCCTGTCGTCTGGGAAAATAGGAAGAGTGCCCCCTGCCCCCCACTTTTGCAGGTCTCCACCCGTCCGGTCCGCGTCTTCTCGGGCAGCGCCCCCTCTCTCCACGTCCGGGTTCTCCAGACGTGTCGCTCCTCCAAGTCGGGCGCGCCGGGTCCAGCCCAGCCCCTCCCGGGGTGATAGCGCCCAACAATGGAGAAGCGGACAGGGGTCACCGGGCGCTCCCCGCCTTCCTGCCCCCGGAACCCCCGCGCTCACCCTGCTCCAGGTCCTGCTGGTCGTACCAGGGCTCCTCTTCCTCCGCGGAGAAGTCTTCCATCCCAGCGGCTCTCCGCATGGCCCGGCAGGCGGCTGGCGGGTGCTGCGGCAGCGCGGCTCAGGGCCGGGTCGCGCGGCCCGGGACAATGCGGCGGAGGCGGACCGGGCCTCCCGCGGAGGGGACTCGGGCTACAGCGCCCGCGCCGCGCCCCCTAGCCATCGGCCGCCCGCCGGGCGCCCACGCGGGGCCTGGCGCGTTGCCGCGGTCCGGCCCGGCCGGGATCCAGCGGAGCCGGGGGCGCCGGGCGGGCGGCGGCGACACAAAGGGTGGAGGGGCGGGGACAGCGGGTGGGACGGTGGCAGGGAGGATCCGGGCCCGCAGGCGGGTCTGGGGCGTTAGGAGCGCGCGGGTGCCGCGGGGGGCGCCCCCTGCCCAGCTTGGGTCCGCGCTGCCCCTGGCCCGCCGGGCGACACCCGGAGCCGCCGCTGCATCTCGGTGGAGCCCGCCTGCAGCTTGCGGAGCCCCGCTCCGCGAGGTGGGGCCGGCAGCCGCCGACCAATCAGGAGGCGCATGCAAAGATGGAGGCGGGGCCGAGGGCGGGACCCTCTTGCGTCCGGGTCTGGGAATTGCAAGATCAACCCTTTCGTCCTCCCGCCGCGACCGATTCAGTTTACTTCTCTTGTCTGAAATTATGTTATTTTAGAAGTTGTCGTCTCCTAGATATTGTCTCTTTTTCACAGCTGGCTACTCAGCTCCTAGAGCAGGCTGCTCACCAGTCGGGTGCGGTGCCTCACTCCTGTAATCCCAGCACTTTGGGAGGCCGAGGTGGGCAGATCGCCCGAGGTCAGGGGTTCGAGACCAGCGGGGCCAACACGGTGAAACCCCGTCTCCACTAAAAATACAAAAGTTAGCCGGGAATGGTGGCGCATGCCTATATTCCCTGGTACTCGGGAGGCTGAGGCAGGAGAATCACTTGAACCCTGGAGGAGGAGGTTGCAGTAAGCCAAGATCACGCCACTGCACTCCAGCCTGGGGAACAGAGGGAGACTCCGTCTGAAACAAACAAAACAAACAACAGGCCGGTCATTGATATATTGCATCGTCATTGTTTGAATGAATAAAAATTTACAGTTGCCTTTGGGAACTTGAGCGTTTAAGTGCCTGTGACTGGAAACTACAGGCCTACAGTGGCCAAGTTTAAGGGTATTTTACCTGCATTCAAGGTTCTGTTTTCTTTTCCTTGGGACCCATATCCTATATCCAATTATATCCGTTAAAACCATACATATTTGCGTCTGTCCAAACATTCTTTCCTTAGAGGAGTTTCCAGACTCAAGCATTCATGTAGCTCATTTTTATTGGGACTCATAATGTGCTGGTGCTGTTGAATATCTCTGAATAATGTTGTAATATAGACAACAAACAACTTGTATCCATAATATAGAAAGAGCATCTAATAGTCATACCCAACCCAGTAGAAAAGTGGGTAAAAGATTTGATCAGACAATTCACCAAAGAGGATATATAAATAACCCAATAAACATGCAACAAGGTAATCAACTTCTTTGGCCGTCAGAAAAATGCAAATTAAAACCACAATGAGGTACCACTAACCAATCACCAGAGAGGTTTTCGGAAAAAAAAAAAAGGCCGGCCACAATGGCTCACGTCTGTAATCCCAGCGCTTCGGGAGGCTCAGGCGGGTGGATCACGAGGTCAGTAGTTCAAGACCAGACTGCCAACATGGTGAAACTCCGTCTCTAAAAAAAAATTTAAAAAAGAAAAAAAGAAAAAGAAAAGAAAACACAGGCCAGGCTTGGTGGTTCATGCCTGTAATCTCAGCACTTTGTAGGGGTGTAGGGTGGGAGGATCATTTGAGTCTGGAGTTCAAGACTAGCCGGGGCAGCATAACAAGACCGTATCTCTACAAAATATTAAAAAATAAAAATTAGGTGAGCATGGTGACAACTTCTGTAGTCCTAGCTACTTTGGGTGGCTGAAGTGGGAGAATCACTTGAGCCTAGGAGGCTGAGGTTGCAGGGAGCCATGATCATGCCATTGCACTCCAGCCTGGGTGACAGAACAGGACCCTGTCTCCAAAAAAAACAAAACAAAACAAAAAACACCTAATGTTGGCAAGAACGTTGAGCAACTGGAACTCTCTCACCCAGTAGAAAAGTGGGTAATAGATTTGATCAGGTACTTGACCAAAGAGGATATACAAAATAACACTGCTGGAGGGAGTACATAAGAGGACAACCACTTTAGAAAACTGCTTGACATAGCCAGGTGTGGCGGCTCACACCTATAATCCTAGCACTTTAGGAAGCCAAGGTGGGTGGATCACTTGAGGTCAGGAGTTCAAGATCATCCTGGCCAACATGGTGAAACCCTGTCTCTACTAAAAATACAAAATTAGCTGGGTGTGATGGCACATACCTGTAGTCCGAGCTACTTGGGAGGCTGAGGCAGGAGAATCGCTTGAACCCAGGAGGAGGAAGTTGCAATAAGCTGAGATTGTGCCACTACACTCCAGCCTGGGCGACAGAGCGAGACTCCATGGAGGCGGGCTGGGGAGTGGGGGAAGGGTGGAGAAAGAAAGAAAAAAAAACTGCTTAATAACCATGAAAGCTGAATAACGTAGGCTGTTGTAGATTGTTTTCCTAGGCAGCTGATCCTGAGATGGAGATTAGCATGCAGAAAGTTGATTAGTGTTATCAATCATACTGGATTAGAGAAAAAAAAGAGGAATTTGACTAGGAAGTGCTCTCAGGATCAACACCTGCAGGAAAGGGAGGGAAGCAGGGTTAGGGGGAGGGAGAACTGGGTTGGGATGTAGCCTCTGCAAAAGCCTCCTCTGATCCCTGAAGAACTTTGAATCTGGGGTGACCCTTCAAAGCTATTGCAAGTATCAGTGTGTGTGGGGGGGCTTTATATCTCCCACCCTTACATATCAACCAGTCATTGAATGACACAGGTCGTCCCTAGGAGGCATGTGTGACCTTGGCCAAAGAAATGTTTTTTCAGATGAGGCTAGTTTGCACAGAGGCCTGGCAGTGGGACTGCCAGCGAGGGGTCCTCCCAGCAGCCAAGGGAATAGGTCCTTTCGTTCTGAAATAGTCGGGGATGCATGACAGGCTGCCAGTGAGCATATCCCATAATCCAGCAATTCTATTCCTATATATGTGCAACAGAAATATGTACATACCTTATCTCAAAGACATGCTCAAGGATGTTCATAGCCATGCTATTCATAAGAGCCCACACTGGAAGGAACACAGACGTCCATCAACGGTTGACGAAGCATATGTGATATTTTCATGTAATGGAATATTATATAGCACAAATAAAATTATCTACGGTCATGGGCCTGGGTTAAAAAAAAATGCCGAGTGAAAGATGTCAGACACAAAGAGTAAATACCTGTATTTGTTTCTTCTTGCTTCTGTAACAAATGACCCCAAATTTAATGGCTTGAAACAACACAAGTTTATTATCTTACAATTCCATAGAAGTCTGACAAGGATCACTGGCTAAAGTCAAAGCATTGGTAGAAGCTGTGTTCTTACTGGAGGCTCCAGGAGAGAATCCGTTCCCTTGTCTTTTGCACCTTCTAGAGGCCACCCATATTCCTTGGCTTATGGCCTCTTCATCTTCAAAGCTAGCAACAGAGGGTGGAGTCCTTTTTCACATCCCATCACTCTGACCTCTCCACCTCCCTCTTAGAAAGGACTCTTGTGATTAAACTGGGCACACTGAATAATCCAGGATCATCTCCCTGTCTCAATGTCCTTAACTTAACGACATCTGCAAAGTCTCTTATGTTGGGCGAGGTAACATATTCAGAGATTCTGGGGATTAGGATGTGGATATCTTTGGTGGGTCATGATTCTATCACAGCACCGCATAATTCCATTTTATATAAAGTACATGTGTCTGTAATCCCAGCTACTCAGAAGGGAGAGGCAAGAGGTCAGCAATTTGAGACTAGCCTGGGTAGCACAACCACCCTCTGTCTCTATAAAACATAAATAATAAATAAAGCTCAGAACCGGCAAAATGAATCGAGATAGTGTTTGGCTTTGGGAAGGTATGTGGAGAATTCTAAGCAGCTGGGAATCTTTTTCTAAAATTTTTTTAACTTTTTTTTTTTTTTTTTTTTAGATGGAATCCCAGGCTGGAGTGCTGTGTCATGATCGTAGCTCACTGTAGTCTCAAAGTCCTGGGCTCAAGTGATCCTCCTGCCTCAGCCTCCTGGATGACTGGGACTGCAGGCTTGTGCCACCACACACAGTGAATTTTTTTTTTTTTTTTTTGCAATTGTGGCGAAATACGCATAAGATTTACCATTTACCATTTAACTTTTTTTTTTTTTTTTTTTTGAGGCGGAGTTTCACTTCTGTTGCCCAGGCTGGAGTGCACTGGTGGCCTGATGTCAGCTCGCCGAAACCTCCTGGGTTCAAGTGATTCTCCTGCCTCAGCCTCCGGAACAGACACTGGGTTTCACCATGTTGGTCAGGCTGGTCTCGACCTCCTGACCTCAGGTGATCCTCCCGACTTCAGGTCATCCTCCTGCCTTGGCCTCCCACAGTGCTGGGATTACAGGTGTGAGCCACTGTGCCTGGCCCATTTAACCTTTTTTGAGTGTACAGTTAATGGTATTAAATAATTTATAATGTACAACTATCACCACCATCCATCTCCATAGCTATTTTCATCTTGTCAGACTGAAACTCTGTATCATTAAACACTAACTCCCACTCGGGAGAATTTTAAACACTAAATCCCATTCAGGAGAATTCTATCTTCTGATCTGGGTGCTGGTTACACGGGTGAGTTCACTTCGTGAAAATTCACCCACGTGTACACTTAAGATGTGTGCACTATTCTGAAGATATATTATACTTCAATCAAATAGTTTATGAAAGAAGAAGAAGAGGCCAGGCATGGTGGCTCATGCCTGTAATCCCAGCACTTTGGGAGACCGAGGTGGGTGGATCACCTAAGGTGAAGAGTTTAAAGACCAGCCTAGCCAACACGGAAAATCCCCTTCTCTACCAAAAATACAAAAATTAGCTGGGCGTGGTGGTGCATGCCTGTAATCCCAGCTACTCAGCGGGGCTGAGGCAGGAGAATCATTTGAACTTTGGAGGTGGAGGTTGCAGTGACCCGAGATGGCCCCATTGCACTCCAGATTTGGGCAACAGGGTAAGACTCCATCTAAAATAAAATAAAATAAAATAAAATAAAATAATTAGGGCCAGGCGTGGTGGCTCACGTCTGTAATCCCAGCACTTTAGGGGGCCGAGGTGGGTGGATCATGAAGTCAAGAGATTGAGACCAGCCTGGCCAATATGGTGATACCCAATCTCTACTAAAAATACAAAAATTAGCTGGGCATGGCGACGTGCCTGTAGTCTCAGTTGCTCGGGAGGCTGAGGCAAGAGAATCGCTTGAACCGGGAAGGTCGAGGTTGGAGTGAGCCATGATTGCGCCACTGC